TAAACCCTAAACCCCTGAATAAACCCTAAATTTTGCCACCAGGGCCAGAGCTCCCAAGAACCACAAACACGGAACTTCACCGGTGACCGCAACCAGGAAGCGTGAACTAAACACAAAAAGGGTTTAGGGTTTAGGGTCACAAAAAGCAAACACGCAACCTCGAACTGACAGACTAGCAACGAAACGATGATGATCACAAAGGACAGGCTACATGCAAGACCCCATCGAAAGCCCCAACACCCTAGTCACACCCTATTTCGGATGGCATGACCCTAAACCGTAAACCGTAAACCCTAAACCCTAAACCCTAAAAACCCTAAACCCTAAAAACCCTAAAGCCCGAACCGTTTAAACCCTAAAGCCCTGGCCGGCAAACCTGACCTGGGAAGTCGACCTCCGAAACCTGCACACTCAACGGTTTAGGGTTTAGGGTTTAGGGCTTTAGGGTTTAGGGTGTTAGGGTTTAGAGTTTAGGGTTTTAGAGTTTTGAAGGTTTAGGGTTTAGAGCCTCTACCCAGGGGCTCCAATGTAGTTCCTTTTTGGGTCTGTTATAGTTTTTTGGTAAGGATTTATAGTATACTATCCAAAAAGGAACTACATAGGAGCCCTTGGGTATATCTAGTGATCAGCCCTGACTCTTCGATGTCAAAGTCTTCGAAGCTGCTTCCAGAAAGTACTCTTCTGAGCTCGCAGTGCCAGCCAGGGTTTAGGGTTTAGGTACCCCCCGTGACAGAAATCAAGCTCTGCGTGTTAAGATTGACGGGAGTCTGACTAGCGAATCAGAATGAAGTGTCTTTCTATCTATACGGCCAGCTAGCTAGCTTGCTAGATAGCTAATAGACATTTAGATATGTAAGTATATGCATTGTTCACAACTATGATAATTCTTACCATCCCTATCTCCATGGCTAGGCTTCAACATGTGTTCATAGGGTTTAAGGGCTTTAATCCAACACCCGTGACTGCGATGCCTCGAACTCCTCATCCAACTCATCCTCATCCTCCTC